ATTGCATCGCGAATATACATTTTGCCCGAATAGCAGAAAATCAATCGGAATAAATTCAGCGAGAAGGAAAGAGAATCACGATTACCTTAGCCTTAGATAAGCGATGGATGCGCGTGCGGATGTCGACTTGAGAAATTCGATGGGAGAGCGGCGGTGATTTTTCGTCTTCATCGCGGCATAAAAGAAAAAGCGGAGAGATCGCGAGACCAGGATATACGCTGTAAAACGATTTTACGAGCCACGGTTGAGAGGATACCACGAAAAGCTGTAATCATTCCTTGCGGATAGGCTTCCTAATTCGCCGCAATGGCGGCTGGAGTGGACACGATTTTCGAAAGAGGGATCAACGTGTTTTATTAGATTTGGGAAAGAAGGAATGATACGCTCCAGAGAATTCGAATTAATTGCAAAATTATTTTTCAGATCAAATTCAATGGTTGAAGTTATTTCGAAACATAAAGCGGATCAACTGAATAATAGCTACGGATAAATGTTTTTCAAGCGTTTTAATAAATAACTTACTTAACTGTAACTTTATTTTATAATTTTTAACGCTTCTGTGAGAAACAGACGCGTAAACAGAGCATAATGGTTCTTGAGTTATTCAAATAATATGGTTGTGCAATGAATAATTGTTTTCATCGGAAGAAAATTATTAACTTGGAATAAAATAAATTGATTCGGAATAGAAAGAGAATCTTTTGCCAATTTTTAATGGTTTGTTTATTCGAATATTTCATTGTTTCAATTAATAATAACGAAATAAGAAATGATAACAGAGAAAGCACGATAAAAAAATACTTTCTCAGTCGTCTCCGTCGTCAAGTAGTAAGTATTCAACTGCTAAACGAAAAAAGAAATATCAGACAAGTAAAACAAGCATTAGAAAATCAAGAATAGTAAGTAAAATATTTGAATAAAATATTTGATAAGATTCTTCTTTTTTTACAGATACCGCACGAATCATCTCCAAAATCGACACCAAAGTCGTGAACACATTTCGCAAATCAAGGAATTCTTCACCGAAATCTTGCTGCATCCAACGATAAAACTTTGCTCGAATACATTAACCGTTCGAATGAAATTTGATTCGATCGCGTGTAAAAAAAAAAAAAAGAAAGAAAGAAAAAAGTTCACCTCAATGCTCCAAAGAAAATTGGAATTAAAAACTCTTGGAACATCTCGACGAATGCCTAGTAGACATCCTGGCAGAAAATAATACGCGTCTCGATAGTTGGCATACGCCTCGTTGATGAATACGGCGTACGTGATTGATGTTTATTAAAGAAGGAGATGTGTCTATCTTAGGAGATGGAAACTGACGTGTTTGCCACCGCATAATAAAGTATCCTTTGAAAATTTAAAACCGTACGCGCTTGAGAGGAGGATACGTAAGCTAGCTCGTAACTTCGTTACATAGGTGTTCATCTACGGTAACTCAGTTGATATAAATTTTAATCACGTTCCTACGTCGCATTACGTTTTCGCAAGTAAGTCTCGTAATTCTCGAATCTAATATTATTTTTCCCCCTTTTTTCCCTTTTCTTTTCTTTTTTTTTCCTGTTCCGTTTCCAGTTTGTATTTCGACACTCTTCGAAATGTCTAACGAACCGCTTGTCTCGTGGATCAGCAGCACTCTTTCCTGTACGCTTGAATATGTTGATAATTTGCGAAGACTTTTTTGGAAATTTTTCGATAAATCCGTTTTTTCGATCGATCCGTACGCGTGTAATTTTTCTTATTATCCTGTCGTGTCTTTGTTCCACGAAAAATTGGTGGCAATTCACTTATAACTCGTCTTTTCGTTCCATGCGCTTTTTTCCTCCCCCAAGAAAATTTCTTCCAATTTTTGTTCTTTCTCTCCTCCCGTCACGTAGCTGCGCTTTGTCGAGCAATCTTGACACAAGTGATAAGATATTTAATTATATACACGGAAAGGGAAATACTTTATATCTCGTGTAATTTGTAAGAATTGTATATTTGAGAGATGCTTGATCGAAATGATTATAATTACCTTTGTTATTTAATGATAAAGGTTAAATGCTCGAGAGGGGATCAATAAAAAATTACATTCCACTTACCGTCCCTTTGTATAATTTGAGAGATGCAAACACCACGATTCGTTCTCGCCTTTGCTACATTCGCAAGCAACATTTATTTATTAAAAAACTGGGAACTGAAACATTCGCAATTTGCCCGATTCACCATCAGACACTGTTATCCTTTATCCAAAAAGCTCTCAAGTTGCAGAAACGAATGTTTATTCAGAACTGACGCATTTTACAAAATTCATGGCGGTTTAAAGGCACGGAAAAAGATGAATCAGAGATGAACAGAACGAGAAGTGTTTCGTCTCTGGTGACGAAAAACGTCACTTTTCTTTTTTCCATCTCGTCGAGCAACGTGGAACAATTTTCGTTATTACAACAGTGGAAAATGTGAACAGTTAAATTTCTGCTAGACGTCTGATATTTGCCTCCATGTTGAGTATAGAAGTGGCTATCAGCTAGTAGTAGCTACAACCTGTAAGATTCACCTCGCTCGTTGCGATTGAGCTCGCAATTTTCAAACGACGATAAGATATCTATTTACTCGTAACGACCAACAGAGACAACAACGCATTTCCACAACAATATTCCGTTCCATAATGCTTGGCAATTACGCACGAATATTTTAGAGGGAAAAGAGAGAGAGAAACTTTAAACCGCCGTCTTTGAAATTTCTTGACTTGACCCGAATAAAACAGATCTCTTCCATCTCTTCCGTGAAATGAAATTCTGCAGAGCTTGTTTCGCCAGAGATGCTTCGTTTCTTCTTCTTCTTCTTCTTCTTACGTTTCACCTCGTTATTTCGTATTTCCGTGGCCACGATATAATATTTCGGCCTCGATCTATCTATCCGATCGAACGGACGAACCGTGTTTTCCTCTTCCCGTCATGGAATCCAATTCTCTGACAACGTATCGACATCGATCGAGACGATAGATCTGTAACGTAATTGGTGCAAAAAAAAAAAGAAATCATCGTTAGTTTTTGTTTAGAGAAAGAGACGTTGTTGAGGGACGTTGCTGCATTTCAAGGCCTCGTCAGATTGGACCAATCGAGGGAGTCGGATGTTCCGTTTCTTCTCTCCAAACGTGTTCGTTTCTTCTCGCGTCCGAGTTCGCGACGCTGGAAAATTGAAAAGTAATAAATTTTCCTTCTTTCGTAGATTCCAAGACCAACCCCGTTTCGAATACTTTTTGTATCGAATTAAATTTATATCGTCGATTTCTTTTTTTTTTTTTCTAACATTTTTATCGATACGAAAAAACGTGCACGAAATAACTAGGTTTACGGTATTCCACGCGTTCGATCTAGAAAATTTCACGCCTCTTTGATAAACGCCGGATGAAAAATACAATCGGAGAAAAGGAAAGTAGGGTAAGGTAAGATCGTAAAAGCGGGGAGGGAAAATTTCTTCGAGTTAAATCGCGACCCAATGATCACGAGAAAACGCAACGATACGCAGAAAACTTCTCCCTTCGTTCGCATCAACAGGCACTCATTGACAGTTCCTAATTAAAACTTCTTCCACAGCTCTCTCCCCGATATCTAACGTCGTATCAAAATTTAACGATATTATTAAAAATTCGCTGATTTCACACTTTTTCCTTCCTACAGAAAATTCCAGAAAAAGAAAACGAAGAAGAAGAAGAAGAAGAAGAATTCAAACGGTAAAAGAAGAAGAGGCCAGGAATGGAAAATAAAAGAGGAATGATCGTAAAAGGAGAGGGATAGAAAGTAACGTAATGGGAAAGAGGAATAATAAAAAAGGAAGAAAGAGACAGAGAGGGAGAAACAAAAAAGAAAAAAAATAAAGGAAAAAAGGAAGAAAGGAGGGAAAAGGCGGGTAGTGGGGTAAGGCTGCGAATTAAGGGTTAGAGAGGAGAGCAGCGTGTGCGCGTAGGGGTTGAAGAGAGAGAGAAAGAGAGAGAGAGAGAGAAATAATCGAGCAACCCCCTCCACCGTTTCATCCCTCCCCGATCTCACACGAACGTGCGAGCTTCGGGATTCGAGGCGGTGTGGAAACTCGAACAGACAGCCAGTCGCTCGCCGTTCGTTCAACAACGTGGCTCGAAAGTGCGATTCAGAGAAGCGAGGAAGGGGTGGACGACGACGACGACGACGAGGACGACGAAGACGACGAAGACGACGAAAACGACGAAAACGACGAAGACGACGATGCCGCCCCTCGTCCTTCTTCTTCTTCTTCCTCTCCGATCTTGGCCAACGTGGTCCAACTGTACGGTGTTGTTGTACGGATAAGATGTAACTGTAACAACAACAGTTGTGTTAGAAGGTGACACGAGGTGGATATCGATCGGCGATCGTGTGCCCTGTGTGTCGACGAATCCACAGGTATCTCTCACCGGTATCCTCTCCATCACGATCCCGTACACGCCCCCGTCGATTGATTGTTTTCAATCGGCCGGACCTCCGTCAACCCTTGATAATATCGAATCGATAATACCCGATTCCTCCGAGCGTGGATAATAAATCGAGAGTGCGTGGGGGTGGATCGATCGATTTTTTTTTCCCAGCGATTGACTTCCCCCTCCCTCGATGGGAGGAGCGAGGAGCAACGAGATGATAATAGCGAGTGCGAAGTGTAAAGTGTCGATTAAAGGGGGGAAGAAGAGCGGAGGAAGGATGCACGGTAATCGCGATCGATCGCGGCCGGTCGAACGGAGGGCATGGCGAGTGTACGTGGATCCCGTTTCACCCAAGGATTTCCGATATTCGGCGTTAGAGGGGTGGTAATCCTCTGTTGGCGTGGATATATTTAACTCGGTGGATGGCCAGGAGTGGAGAGATTTGGTGACTGGGTGCCGCCCGATCCGGGTTCAACGTTTCGAATCAATCGTGAAGGAGAGGAGATCGTTCTAAGGTTCGAAGGAAGGAAGGAAAAGCTTTCGATTCGTCGCAAATTTTTGGGATGAAAAGGATTTCTCCGCTGCAACAAAGCAAAGGAACGTGGAGAGGGAAAGAAAGAGAGGGCATAAAGGCGAGGTTTTTGATCTCGTTGCAAAATATCGAATCGATCTAGCCGATCGTTGAGGTGAATGGCGAAGCTTAGCGCGATTACCGTGTATTCTATGGTTGGGTCACGGTGGCGAGGATCATCCCTTTGATATATATACACATATGTACACGTATATATATATGAATACACACAGAAGCGTACTCGATACGTGGATCTTGCGCAGAATATGGGGAAGGCACGAGGCGAATTTGGCTACGAAGGCAACAACGTGACACCACGAGGAAATTTCTTCGACGATTCTAAATAAACGGATTACGTTTCAAATCTCCGCGAATCTCTCTCGGCGTCTTCCACGATCCCCTCCGTTGCACGTGTTCCCTTCTCGATTCGATCGTGTTGCCGCGTGTCGTCGATCACCGCAATCGTGTGTGGCCGGCAAGAACGTTCTACAATTCGGGGAAGAGTGAAACGATCGATCGAGGGAATGATTAAAAATTCAAAGAAGATGGACAGTCACGGATGAAGCCATGGTTGCCATGACGACCGTTGCCAAAGTGTCATAGGTGCGATCAATGGTGAGTAATCACCATCGCGGTTTAATCGCCGCTGGATTTTCCTTTTTTCCCTCTTTTCCTCCCTGTGTGAGTACGTATGTGCGTGTGTGTGTGTGTGTACGTTTCGTATTGTTGAATCGTTCTCTTGACCGAGAAACGATCGTGCCGGTGTCAAGGATATAGGATATACGAAAGAGTACGATTTGAATTGCTAAGCGGACGTTGGATCGTTATTAATTATTACTAAAACTCGATTTGACAGGGGAGTCGAAACGAGGGGAAACTGGTTTCGAGGTTTCGACGAAAGGTGGTCGATGATTAAAGGTGGTTGTAAACGGGAAAAATAAATAAGGGACGACGAGGAAGAGGAGGAGGAGGAGGAGGAAGAGGGTAGCAGATACCGCGCGTATGGAGCATACACGGAATACCGATGTAACTTTTCGTTTATTTTCATGCATTAAGGGCATACGTGATAACCAGCATACACTCCGCTTTGGAAAATTGCGTACTCTCGCTCGCGGGTAAAGTTAATAATTCCCTTTTTTCCCTGTAATAATCTGTGGCAAGTGAGGGATGAATATTTAAGATTATCTCGCGTGATTAACTCTTTGATATCGGGTTTCGAAAATTACGAGGCTCGAGGAAGAGGAGTGAGAAACTTATTTTTAATGTCGATCTCGGACAAGATACTACTGTTTACTGTAATTCCGTGGCGTCAACATTAATCTTGTATTCGGCCGGTAGAAGATAAGGGTCGAATAACGCGTATTAAGATTGGAGATATTTGTAATCTCGTGGCTCGAGTTCGTTTCGAATTAACTCTCTTATTTTGAAATCTCACGAACGAAGGGATAGCGCCACCGAGAATAATGGAGAATTTCGATTATGTAAAATTTATAAAGTATAGAGACGAATTTTATTTTAATTAATTTTCTTATTAACCGATCGATCGAAAATTTTGTTGCAACGCTTGGATTATATTGTTTCTTCCATGCTCTTTTTAAGAAATTTTCTCTTCTTATTTTATAAGAACATCAGTGTTTTAATTCCATTTTTTCTTTCTTTCTTTTTTTTTTTTTTTAGATATGTTTGTGAAAATGCAAATCTCAATATAAAGATCCGCAATCTATTTATCACAGTCCATTCCGTTATCAGCTTTAACGCGTACTTTCACCACTTAACGCGATAGAGATATCCTATACGTATAAACCGATTATATCCTAATAACCGTTCTCAAATATTGCAAGAACGTGTTGCTTCAACATCGGAGAATCAAGTAGATACCAATTAGACCAATATTTTGGAATCATGTTACGAGTCGATTAGACTATTTTTTTTCTTGTTTTTAAATTGAACCTATTGGAATATATACTTCCCATAATTTAGAAAATTTTTGTGATTTTCATTTCGGTTAAATTAAAAAAAAAAAAAAAAACCTTTACGAAATGAAATTTTTACATTTCAATAGAATCCGTCTCATCTCTATTAGTCTCTATAGAAAAAGACCCTTTTAACAAACGTTTTAAAAAATATTTTCATTAAGATAAAATATCCGTGAAATAAGATAAGATACATGGTATCGAGGCAACGATTCGAACAATAGAATTTCCCAGACACAAGAAATTCCGCTCTACTTGCTGGAGACAGGATAGAACGAGCGTCTTCGTTCTTGTCAATTGCGGGTAATTAATTATAACATCATTTCGCTAATTAATCTAAGTCAAGGTTACCAGGTTTGGGGATCATCTTTTTCCCCCGAGCGATGCATCCTACTTGCGCGTAGATACTCTTTCGCAGTGGATAGTCGCAGGTAAACCGTAGGAACAATCAATCTTAAGCGTCGCTAAGAATTTCATTTCATTTTAGAAGATAGAAAGGCTCTCCATCCTATGAGAGATCGCGTACACTCTACTTTCGTGGAAACGTTCCCCTTTTTCCATCGTCAATTTCTCCTTCCCGTGTAATTTTCATTTTTTTTCTCAAAATAATTTCTATTCTTTTTAAATAATCAACGAAAGACGGTAAGAGATATATGTCACGAAAGAATGAAGCGTATTCGTGAAACGTTCGTTGTGCATTCGTTTAACGACTCTTCAGGACGGAATGGCCAATCTTTTCTCTTTCTTTTAAATTTAACTGTGATATCACTAACGCGGTATTCGTTGCAACGAGTTCAAGTTTAAATTATTTCAGATCACTAGTATCGTTCGATTAACGTGACCGCAAAAATTTCACGCTGTAAAAAAGTAGAGATGTAGAAAGGGGATGTGGATGAAAACATCGGATGGTTCATCGGAAAATTTCTATTTACCGCGTTTCAAAAGTTACGTACGAGTACGGATATTATCGCGGATGAATGTACCTTGATTTATGAAATTCTTTCGTTAGATTAATTTGCTGGCGCAATAACATTGTTTTTTCCTTTTTACGCAAAAGTATAAAAAAAAAAAAAAAAAGAAAAGAAAAATGGTAAATGGCTCGACGTTTGTATCAACGTCGAAGTGAATAATTCCTCGCGTAAATTTATTTGCTATGAATAACGCTATTTTCCCCAGATTTTTCTTTCCTTTATTTGGGCTAAGAGAGTGGAGCATAAAAATATTTTCCTCCGCTTTATATTTCTCGTATTCCTGGCAACGATTGTTCTTGCGTGAAATCATACAACAATAATTCTGAACTTGCTTGCTCTTTGAATTTTTATACCCGTTCGCTTTCATTCAGTTTCCACGCAATATGAACGAAATTTTTTTTTTTTTACGAAAAATTTATTATTAAAGGAACAAAATAGTAGGCTTTGACAGCTATTAATTAACCCAGATCTAAATCTGATCTCGTCCTTTTCGGATGGATGCGAATCCTCGTGATAGAATTAATCCCTGATAGAAGATATCATATTAGCATAGCATAACATAACAAAGAGAGTGGCATTTGATATTTCTGAAATTATTATTCATAAGCGAGGAATTGTTCATCGAAGCAATAGTCCATAGCGAAAAATTGAAGAAGGAAAAAACATTCAGGCTGATACTTCGCCTCGCAATCTTACCATTCGAACTGTTTGTGCACACACCTTTCTCTCTCTCTCTCTCTCTATCTATCTATCTATTTATGTATCTATCTATCTCTCTCTCCCCCACTGTTTTCAATAATAACTTCGAATAATCGGATTTTATAGATGCACTTCATTTTAATGGAAAAGAGCCGAGAAGCGGGGTGTAATTTTTTGCACAGCACTGCGATACAATTTAATGCTTGGGGACGAATTAATATTCGATCGTGGTGTGCGTTAAACAATCGTCGTTCCATTTTCGAATAAATTGCGCGATACACTCGACCATATCGAGATATTTAACCATTGTCGTACCTGCGTATGAAATTTTAACTCGATGCATCGGATAAATTTGAATTGTGTTGCGTCCAAGTTGAAAAAGCCAACCGTGTCCGATTTATACGTAAAAGTAATAAGAAATAATTGTATGGACAACGCGAAGAAGAATGGTAAAAAAAAGAAAAAAGAGGGAGGTTGAAGTGGGTGGGAGGACGAGAATGGAAAATGTCGGTTACCATTGAGAACGAAATTTCCCCTTTCTGTCATAGGATTGTAACGTTGTTTTACATATTTGCATATTCAAATGTCTTCTTATTGTCGACGATCCGTCGAAAGGATGGCATATTCGAAGGAAATGCATATTATTCCTTCATTAACTGTTAAAACTTAATTGTTCGTCGTAAAATGGATCACGAAGCATTAAAATCGAGAAGAGTTTTAAAGAAAGATGGACTGGTTTAGAGAAAATTTCGTGTTCGATATGAATTTTACGTGTACTTTTTTTTTTTTTCTTTTTAATAAAATTTCTCAATTCTTCCAATTTATCACGTATCATCAAACTTTTTCCATTTAAAAGTCACGAAAAAAGACATTTCAAATATCTTTTCGCCGTTCTTTCATCGAAAATTTACACGAAATTTCGAAAAATTTTAATTATTTACGAGGCTAAGATGAACTAGATTTTTCAGATCATGCAAATGTTTTTACGCCACTATTTCGCATAGCGAATTTCTACGTATCCCCTACTGATATAATATGCATTTATTCAACGCAAAATATTTTCGAAAGCCCGATTCCTCTCTACACCAGATTTTGAAATTCCAAAATTTCATAAATGTGAAATTTCATATAAAACCCCTGGAAAAAACATTTTCCCTTCGCGCATTGTTAAACAACAATAAAAACTAAAAAAATAATAAAAGCTCGAGCAAACGACAACGAGAAGATAGAAAGGAAAGAGAGTTAATACACAGCCGATTTTATTAACTCTCTCTCGATGTACATCGAGACAGGGAATATTTCCACTTTGAGAAATTTACAGTTCGAGATCTAGGGACTGGCGATATCACTCGATTCTCGCTCGCTAAGTATATGTAGAGAGGAGAAAATGGAGGGTCTCGAGGGACAAGGAAATGATTTCTGTCTTTGTAAAAAGAAAAAAAAAAAAAGGGTCTTCCTCCACGGAATGCTCCGCTCAAGCGGGCAAAGATCCCTCTTCTGGAAGCCAAGAGAAACTCTATAACGCCTGTCCATCTGTCAATCCTCCCCTCAAAAGAGTGCGTGGCTTCGATTCCTTCCGAAAGAAAATCGCTCCTCTTCGTAAAAAGCTCGAGAAGAGAAAGTTTTCTTTCAATACTTTCAGATTGCGCCGCGACACTCGTTTTCGAACGAGTCAACTGCCGCTGATTCTGATTCGTAGAATCGTCGTGCTTCTTTTAAGAGGAACGTTTTAGAGTTTTCCCCTCCTAGAGTAATTCAATTCTAACAATTTTCTTTGTTTCATCGTGTTTAAATTTAACACGAGGAACATTGGAATAACATTTTCTTCAGAGACAATCGGTTCTAATTTGATATATTTGTATTCAGAAAAAATTATAATTTAATAGATAGAATTTCTTTCTTCAATTTTGTTCGTGGCGTCTAAAATGTCTATCTTCATTCGATATAGATTTTTCTCCTTCGTTTCTCCTTCTCACAATTAATATCTATCGCGGATAAATTTATGGGGAAACATATTACAGACATCGTTCCTTCGTTGAAATCGGTTCATCCTTCTATATCCGAATCATCCTTCCATAAATAAAAATCTTGCAGAGAGAAAGAGAGAGAGAGAGAGAGAGAAATTGCTCGATCCAATCCTCGATTCCTCCTCGAATTCGAACATCTTCCTTCCCTCATCTCCGCGTAACAGCTATCTGGCCGCTACTTTAATATTTAATCTGAACCATTCAGTTGCAACCAGGTCTCCTTCGAAACTCATTACATCTCGTTAGCTACCGTCCACGATTGCATTTAATTAAATTCCCTTAACCCCCAGCCCTCTTCATTTCCGCGCCACCGTTTTTTCACCCGCGAAGAAATAAAATTAGCGATTAGAAACTCGAGCTGCGAAACGAATCGAGTTATCCGCAGCGACTCTATCCACTCCCCCCCTATTTACTTTACGATTTACGAAGATAGATACGATCTTAAAGAGAGAAAAAAAAGAACGAAGCGCAAAATTTATTTTTCTCCCTTGTTCCAGAGACGCTCGACGAGGGATTTCAATGATACGCCACCAAGTGTATCGGGGTGGTCGTGGTGATTGGTGAGAGGCCAGTCAGGACGCGACACCTCGTTTCTCCTCGCGTGCACGAGGAAATGTTATCTCTCGTGGAGCGGCGCACACCACAGCACACACCGTAAGAATCCAGAAACCGTTAAGGGGCGAAAGTGAGCCCGAGTCTCGCCGGCTGGTGGCCAGCCATGCTCGACAAGATCGAGGAGCCGTCCCCTCGTTCCAAGATCTCGTGATCAAGATCTCGTGACAGGAGGAGGAGATCGTGAGTCCGGGCGAAATGGGGACGAATACGGGCGACCAGCCGTCTCTGCTCGGCTCCATCGTGAGGAACCTGTCGTTGGATCGTCGGCAGCGACCACCGACCGACCACCTCTCCGCGGGGAACGCGACCAAGGGCAACACCGAGGGGGAGGAGACCTCCTCGTTGAACGACCTGCTCTCGAGAAGCGAGACGAGCAGCGGTATCGAGTCAGGCTGGTTCAACGACTCGACAACACCCTCCTACCCCGGTGCGTCCTCGCCCTTCTTCTCGTCCGTCTCGCCCACGCCCTCCCCCGGATCCGAGAATTACACGGGGATATCGGACCTGTTCGTGTTCGACGATCTGAACGATTACATCAATCGATTGAATTACAGCGCTTTCGTTAATCTGACGGCCTATTACGACGGCGGGGCAAACTTGAATCTGAACGGAACCGTGAACTGCACCTCGTCGTCCGGTGTTGTGAGTGCGGGGGAGTGCGGGCCGGCGGCGGACGTTGACGAAAAGACGGACGCCAACAGTTGGTGGGCCCTGATCCTCGTCATCGTCCCCTGTTTGACCCTGTTCGGCAACGTGTTGGTTATACTTGCCGTGGTTCGAGAGAGGGCCTTGCAAACGGTAACCAACTACTTCATCGTCAGCCTGGCCGTCGCCGATTTGCTCGTCGCCGTCCTCGTGATGCCGTTCGCCGTCTACGTGTTGGTGAGTCTCTGTTTTCTTTTCTCTCTCTCGGCCGTTCGAGGTGGTACATGATAAATCAGGTGGGCGGCGAAAGGATTCGTTATATCAGGACGATCGATGTTTCGTTCGATGATGGCGTGCGAACGTGTCGCGTTTTAAACCTTAACCTTCGCCCGATGAAACGTACGTGGAAACGCGCGACCTGTTATTTCGACGTGGTAAAATTAGAAATGATACACAGCCGAGCACTGTATTATAGCCACTTGCACGATATCTTATTAACATTGGAACGATCTTTTTATTTCTCCAATTAATCAAATAATAATATTTGGAAATGGTGGTGAAGGGATCGATTTTAACGTTTATTTCAACGGGAATTATATTTATTTTCGCCATATTTTGATTGGTAATTGATCCCTTCAGTGATCCCTAGAATTTTTACTATTAAAATTAGTTCGATAAAATCGTGCTAGAGGACTCTGGTTGTCAATCAAGGAACAACGGTATTAGCAGACGGGTCGATTCCTTTGTGAAATTTATAACTCGATCGGTCTACAGGAATTCGATTCGTTCCGATTCGTTCATCGATGAGACGACGATTGGCTCGCGCAGTAGTCTTTGTAGTTATATCCAATAAACGATGATTTCATTCAGGGTTTCCGCAAATTCGGACGCGTATGTGAATCGAATGAAAATAGGATTACTTAATTAATGCAATTTAGAGTAATTCTTTGAGCGGTGAATCCCGTGATAGTGGATGACCTAGTTCCGTTCGAATCGCTTCCACCGAGTCATAGCGCAGGATGTCAAGCTGCTTGTTGTGGAACCATTCTTTTATGCTTCTGCAGTATTTATTTAACTGTCTTTTTTATTTACGCGACGAAATAAATTTCAATATTACACGGGGAGAGATAAATTCTTGACGTATTATCTTATGTTTCATTACGGACCGATTTATATGCATTTTACGATCCCATTTCTTCTTATTAATTTAGGAGATGTAGAATTTTCTCGCGCAAGAGGTATCATAACCTCATTTTCACATTTTTCGTAAAACGTGCTTGAAATTTATGTTGTTTGTTGGATAATTGTCAAAGTTTAGTAGAAAGAGTGGTTTTTTGGTATTCTCTTTTTCTTTTCTCATTTCTGTAATTCTGAATAAATTTCCGTGAAAATGGCAAGAATAACGGTAATGACGATTGATGATGCGAGGTAAAAAAGAATAAGGATTTGAAATGTAAATTTATGCAACTTTGTTAAAACCCTTTTATCAATTTACATTATTTTATTGAAGATTAAAGGAAAGTATGCACAAACGGTGGATGTAATTTTACGGGGAGAAATGTGTGCGAGAAGTTGGACATGTTTGCACAAACTTTCCCCATGATGGAAAGTAATAGTTCCGTAGAAGATCGAGATGAGGTTAACTCGGTAAGAGTATGAGAAGAATTTTCCAATTGATGGAAAAATGTCGCAAAAATCGTAATTTGATTCATCAAAATTGTTAGCGTTCCATTCATCTCTCTTACCTTTAAGCAAACTTTTATTCTATCCAACCTCGAAACGATAATTGAAATGAAAATTTTACCAATTTTTTAACTATTTATCTCATAATTAGAATCACTTTCGAATCCAACTCGATGCAACTCGTTCCCTTTCTTTCGTTATCGAATCGATCGTAATCGAAATCGACGTAAACTACGATCACAGCACACAGAAACGTGCAACACAATGCATATATAGAAAGTCTTTTTCTTCTTGCGATGAGACAATTGCACGGCGACACAACACGACACAATATTTGTACACGCAGATCGAAATAGTAATTGTACACATGACATTTCCCTTCATTTATGCTAATTAACATTTTGTTAGTAGACTGATGACGGTGGGAAATTTACAGAGGAAGAAGAAATAATTTATTCCACGCGACGTGTAGCCAAGTGACCGTTAAAGATGTAACTCTTGGAATATGCATGAGAAACTGGCGAATTCGATGACACAATTTATCGGAAGAGATCTAATGGAAAGTTGGGGAATGAAGAGGAGAAAATTAAAATATCAAAAATTAATTACGAACGATATTATTCCCGCTATAAGATGTAAGTCGCGACCGGGAAAACGTACGGTTTTATTACCGCAAATTAATTTCTAGGAAATTTCCAATAATCCGATAATGTTCAGTTCGTTTTAACCAACTGCGTGCAAAAAATTTATAATCTCTTATTGTCGCGCGAACGAAAATTATTTCTCTCTCTCTCTCTCTCTCTCTCTCGCTTATTCAAAGTCACGTGAAGGTCATTATTAAACCTTATTGCTATCTGATCTCGGCATAAAATACGCTTCTTTGCAAATTTATTTATTTATTTTCCTCCTCCTTCCTTTATATACCATCTTTCGATCGCGTCGAACACAGATCATTCTTACAACATTCTCACAACTTCGTTCATCTCTCTTCCGTAATTCTTTCCAAACGAGCAATGGACCGATACGTTCCATCCTCTCTGTATCGAGTGGATAAAATCGAGATATTAACGCGGTGCAGCGTGCTAAAATCCCTCGCCGACCGCTTAAACGATCGTTCGCGAGTTTCGCATTAAACTGTTTAGCGACGCGTGTGTGCGCGCGCCTATAATGCGTCCCAACGATAATGTCGCGACGCGAGTTTCGTGCCACGATCGAAGCACTTTACTCTTCACTTTACCGCTTCCCTCTGAAGCGAAATCGCGTTCTGGGATTTCCATCCTTTGCGTACGTAACGCGACATCTACGACGACTCCATCTAATGTACCATCTTTTCAACTATTATCATTTCAGTAAATTGGGAATTTCGTAAAATTTCGATCTTTAGATTTCTGCCAAGTCAATTTTAAACGGTTGAGCGACGAATGGCGCGCGACGGTAATAAAAACGAGTTTTCTGAGCTAATTCGAAGAATTGAAGGAGACGGTCTGCGATCAATGGTCTGATCGATATCGACTTGTACTACTTTACTTGTCTTGCTTGATCGATATATCAGTAGTTCGAACCCGTCCGTGATCAGACGTGACGATTTAATACCGAATAATAATGAATATTTTTAATATTGAAAAGTATAATTTAAGCGAAGTTTCGAAAAATTGTACAATTATAAAATTATACAATTTTAATCGTACAATAATGATTCTCACTGGACCATTAATAATATCCAGTCGATTTTGTTAATTTAAGAGGATCTTGGAAGAAGTTATGAAGTTATGAAGTCCAGAAGGAATGTATAATATCTTCGTTCGATTTAAAACGTTGATTGGTAATTCGCTTTAAACGCTCTTTCCTTTATCTGGATTACGAGAACTGGAGAAAATTTTTGAAATCTTCACCGTTAAAAATTACACGATCTATCGGTCGCTTGTTTCTTTAACGGCACTTATGTTACGAAGAAAATTTTAATATCTTTTTAAATTTTCCATTCCACGATTCGCTTCCGACCAAAGGGAGTAAATTAATTAGCCGACAAAGATCGGGGAGAAGGGAGTGTGGGATAAAAAGTACTGGATGATTTTTTTTTTTTTTCCTCTTTCTATTTCCCTTTATCACGGTCATCCTATATACACTGTCATCGTGCAATCGCGGCTCTGAAAGTTGTAATTTGTACCAGTGCTATTTTTCATCCAATTTGCTGCGCCGTTATTAAAGTTTCCATTTTTATTACGCCGTATAATCTTCTTCGTTACCATCGAACGTTTCCTTTTAACGAAAACGACTATTGGAAGAATTTTAATCGCGTTCGAAAAATAAGATAACGTGAAAATTGGTGGATGGGGATCGTTGCAGTTGAAAGTATTAAAATATGCATGGAACGTCTTTGGAATATCAATTTTAAAAGCGTTAAAACAAGCGCAAAAAGTTCATATATGCAAAACCGTCGGTTGGAGCTTATTTTTTCAAGTTACGGGCTATTTCATTTCGTACGTCTAGAAACGCCTGTACCTAGGCAACTTGCACAGCCAGGCTCAGCTGTTTCTACTAAACTAAAGTTTCGCCTTTCAACGAAAAATTTTCAAATTAACATGTTTCTTTCATTTCAGATACACGATTTCTCGTACTTTTATATCCACGATGTAACGTGGATTAATTATATCGTAGAAACAATTAGACGAATTATCGATATATCAAACTCGAATGGAATAAAATTTTCAACCGAAACTGCAACAGCATTCTACGTTTACACGATTAGATTTCTATATATTGAAATTTAAAGAAATTTGTTTTTCTTTTTTCTTCTGGTAAATAATAGAAAAAAATTATTTCACCTATGCTCCATCTTGCAACGAAAAACCTCGTCATTATTTGCAGTCACGTCGGTTTACCACGCGAGATTTCCGCTCGAGCAAAGGCAATCCTGTTATTATTGCATTTTTCTAAACACGGCAGAACCAGCTGTGTAGCTTTCTCCTTCTCGTATCTCCAACATCTCGAAGGCTAGAGACTTGCCCCGTAAATCTTTTCTTGAATTTATGTAGGTCGTCTATTTTTTTCTTTGGCATATTTATAACTGTTTATTATTTTCTATAAATTGAGGTATGCCCGTTCGAAACACGTTTCTAATTGAAAATATCAATTAATTAATTTAATTTATAATGTCTCCGCACGAGATTGGTCATTTTTAAGAAAACAACTTTTTAATTAACGAAATACAAGAGTTATCTCTTCCTTACCACCCGTTTTTGCTGAAATTTTCCCCTCCTCCTCCTCCTCCTCTTCTTATTTTCGCCGATGCGATGTCTGAATTTTTAAACATTCTCGTCATTTGAAACGATCAGAGCTTAATTAGAGCTTCAAATACGGGTGGAAATTTTTCATTTGTATCTCAATTGTACGATGTATTACCAAGTAATATATATCAATTTAAAATATATTCTTACAGCCCACTATTCATCATCGATATTTCTAACCGATTCATAAAACGAAAAAGAGATCGTCCTCGCGATTCTCCTCCATTTCCAAGAAGAAAGAAGAAGAAGAAGAAGGAGAAGAGGTTA